GGGGGGGTGGGGGGGTGGGGGAAGCTAAATGTGCAAATCCAGATGAATATGCAGCATTATGGGTAACAAGCCACTTTACTCAATGAAGTAGAACAGCAATAGTTAAGAGGCATTAATGGTCAGATTGTGCTGAGTCGACGCAGCCTTGGTTATCCAACGCGCTGTGGTATTTTGAGCTGCTTTTATGGTCTACCTCCTGTTACACACACATATAGAGACCTTTAAGGTAAACAGAAACCTGGTAAAATATTTGCTTAGTCCCGTTTGTGAACAACTGAGAACCAAGATCTATTTTCAGAAGCCGGTGGCCAGTACGAATCATCTGTTGCTGATTATACCCCACAGCTCCAAATTATGGGTACTACAAATGACTTACAGAGTCTGTGGAGCTACCCAAGGGCTGTTATTTTACTGCCAATTTTACTAAAGGTCAACCTCCACTCTAGTAAAACATGCAGCCATTCATTTCAAGGGCTACAGCAACTGTGCTGCTGTTCCACAGAGGAGTCAGAGCTGATCAGGAAGGGAGGCATCCTTATTTGGTTCAATGTGTCAGCGGCGTTTGACTGAAACGCTGATCTGAGCTGAAGCAGGACTCTCTTTTTGTCAGACCACCGTTGCACAGGAAGCAGAGTAGATCATGTTATGTTAAAAGTTGAAAAAACTAATACAGTAATCAAAATTTTAAGCACAGTTTACTGAAGAAAGGGCTTCTGCTTCCAGCAATAAATCTATCCTGGGTCTTTTTTTTTCTCTGTGAAGACATTTGCCATTATTAAGAGCTGTAATAAGAGATGTTTTTGCTTAAAATCATGCAAACGTCCAAATTAAACTGACCAAAATGAAATGTCTGCCACTCCTTCAGCGCCTCAGGGCTCAGCACAGTACACTGGGTCCATTCTACATAAACAAAGACAATGAGCCTGGCGTTGTGAGGCTGGTTATGAGATGATTGCAGGTCAAGGAGAACACTTCCATTAAGCAGGAGGGACTGCTGTGTTATAAGAAAAGCTGCCTCGGTGATGCAGTGGCGCGGGAGCCCTAAGTGCCTCCATATGAATGCGTCAGAACCACTCATTTATTACAACCCGATCGTGGGTGAACCACGTGAGCGTGGGGATGGCTGCAGCTCTATTTCTGTGCATGCTTCTCAAAAGTCCAGCAATTATGGGGGGAGCGCATCGGGTGCCGGTGGCCACCTTGACGTCTGTCTCCCTGGGAGGGTTCCCGTTAAACGGCCATCGTCCCAGCCGTCAACCCCACTGGGGTTTGGCCCCTGTGGTTCCTGTCTCCAGAGCCAGTGGCTAGGGTCTACCTCACTGGTGTGGTGGTGCAATGATGAGGCTCTAATAACTACCAATGAATACAGGAGGACAGCTACAAATCTGTAATTGGGCTGTGTCTGAGTAACAGGGCTTCTGCACTGAATCTTTGTTAATGCAGCATGTAAAAAAGGAAGTGCTGGTTTCCTTTTTATAGTCTTTTAAAGTTGTAAACAAGTTTTTATTGTGTTAACTATTGTGTAGCCTCTTATGAAATTGATGCAAACATTTTGGGCATACAGTCAATATCAAATGATGGTCCTTTGAATGTGTTTTTTTACCTGTTTTTTCTTATAGAAGCCCTTCTTGTCACAGTTTGGTATGCGGAAACCTCTGGGGTTGAGAATGTCTGTAATCTTGAGGCTGCTGAGAATGCTCTCAATCTCTCTCCGACAGGGACCCTACAGATGAGAAAACACATAAGAAGTTAGTGTACTTTTTCCAATGCTTAAATATCTCTGGCATGTGCATGCTTTTTCATTCTGCAGTATGATGTTGACATGAATTCTCTGCTTTTAAAAAAAAAATAAGTTAACAAAGCTGACTCACACTGCATCACACTCTGATAATACCTAAACAATGGTGGCTGCAATATGAAAGAGGTGAGAAATGAATTCATCTGACCAACTTGTAGCGGCTTAACAGTTACAAAAGCTGCTTAGAACTCTTACACTTTACACAAAGGATGGGGGATAACGTGAATTCAAAGAGCTCAAAGAAGGAGCCAAAAAGGCTTGTCCTCAAGTCCAAGTACTCCAGTCACTAATCAAAGCAGCCAGTCAAAGCCCATTACTAGTGTGTGCTCACTTCTCTGGCCAAAGAGAAGATCAAAATAGCAGCAGGGCTTCCCAACAGGCACTCGCATAGGCCAATCCATCATTTGTTGGCTCCCAGTACACCCGGCACGCGGACGCCTTGTGGCCAAACAACCGCCTGACCCAGGTCAGCCGCAGGGCCATCGTACCCACTCGCTGCCATGCCATTCTACTGCTCACGGTGCCTGCCAACCGTCAGCACCGCTACCCAAAACATTTCATCACCCGCAGGGGGAGAAAAACACCAAAACACAGAGGAAGAGGAAAAAAACATTCCTCCAGTGTGCTCTGAAGACAGAAAAATATTGGTTGTGGTACTTACATACTCAGGCTCCTGTTTGGTCTCAAGTGAGAAGTTTTGTTGGTCTGTGATGAGTGGTCCCGGGAGCTCCTCCATTTTAAAGCTCTGGGTTCTCTTCTGCTGCTCCCGTCTGAGGACTTCTGACTTGGCGGAGGGGAAAAAGGGGTGAAGAGGAGGTCTCAGGGGTCCTGTGGGTCTGTGGGTGCTGTACGAGGTTTGAAGGCCTGAGCCGGTGGAATTCCTCTCCTCGTCCTGAGTCTCAATATTTTCTGCTGAAGTTTGAGAACAACATATGTTGTTTATTCACATAAACTGAACTCTAGGATACATAATATTTCATTTAAGGAGTAATTAAGGATAATAAGGAGTGTTTCCAATTCGGATTGACACATATCAACTTTTATCAGCAAGTTGGTGGTCACTTTGAGGGTCACAAAGTGCTACATTTCAGCATTTGATTAAGATATTTCATTTTTAGAGGGAAATGAACAGAAATATGCAAAATGCCAATCAACATTTAATCTTTGCTAATGGATTAAGGGGTTTTCAGGTGTTCACACTCAGCTTTTAAACTAAACTTTCTTATGCTTTAACCTGTCTCATCCTTCACCTTCTCTTTTCAAATGAAGAGAATTCACTGGGTGAAATCAATTAGGGATTGTGGCTTTTAATCAGGATTTCTCCCAGTGTATGCCATGGAATTAAGCTGCTGTGCATCATAATAGAAGCACATTCCTACTCCTCTAGAGGAGTTAGAAGATTGTTCCCCTAACCCCAAAAGAAACACATTTTCATTTTAGTGTTTAGAAGCTTGTACATTCAATTAGGGTAATACACAAAAGTCTGTACACTTGTTGCGCATTAATTTGCGTATACAACGACTTTAAGACATTCTCAAACCTTAATTAACACCTAAAGCTACTTAACAACTAAGTATCTAAAGTGCGCATGGGACGCACAAGGAAAAGGTGCGCGCACAGGCATTACCTGGAAGTTCATTGACCGGAGGTGTTGGTCTGGCGGGAAATCGTCTGTTAGTAACGTTTGCACAAATCCCCCGTCCCTCCAGCAGAGCCTGCAGAGGTTTCGTCTCACCGGGCTGATGCTGACAGGTCAGTCCGGAGCCACATCTCCCGGTGTACACGCCGCACGGCTGGCCGAAGCTCAGAGCGCAAGTCATGCAGCAGCCGCAGCCCGGTTCGCGGACTTTCTCGGCGCAGTCCTTGGGTAAAGGTTTGCACAAAAGCCGCGCTCCAGCATCACATGGCTCGCATTTGATAACCGGTCCGACCGCACCTGACCTCCGGGTGAACGATGCCAGGACAAAAGTCATGCAAAATGCGCGAAAACAGGAATCCATTGTGGCGTCCGAGATGGTGTCAAAGTGGAGGAAGCGCACTGTCCTGCTGTGGTGACTTTTCACTGGGCAGCTCCACTCTCAATCACGTAAAAGCCACCGGCCAAAACATCTCAATATATAGACCCCAGTGACTGTAGTCACACCCCCGAATAGCTTGTGGTATACTGATGAATTGCCTCGACTCCGTTATTCCTTTAAAAGCATCAGAGCTTCAGGATGCCGGTTTTTTTTTCTTGCAGACCAGTAGAATAGCATTCACGGTAGCTTGCATATCTCTTAAAGACTGAATCGGTATAAAATAAAATGTCAAAAAAAAAAAAAAAAAATTGAAGTTTGTCAACTTTTTACCTTGGTAGAAACATTTAGTTGAAGTCTTAATATTCTGAATACATTTTAATTTATAATGCAGTTGTCAGGCTATTAGACACATGCAAACACATAATCATGTTACCCCAGACGAACACACACACTAATGTTTTTAATGTGTATCGACTCTCTGTTTGAAGAGCCCACACACACAGGAATAGCTCCAAGCGTCTGCCATACGCAGATCCATTCACAGGGGGCGCCAATAATAATGTGTGTGTGTGTGACTCAATTCAACTTTGGTGCTCTAATCTTTGAGTGATGCAGTGAACTTGAGAGGCTGTAATGGCAGTGTGTTTGTTTCATTGCTTGTGCGTTTATGTACAAGTAGTATTCACATGAGTATGTGTTTGCATGTGTGTGTGTGTGCATGTGTGGTTCCACTGATCTGAGACCCAAGAACCAGTTGCACATGACCCTGCATGACCTGTATATGGTGTAAGCGCATAAACTGTGACCAATAAGAGCATAAGATGATTATTTCAAGCTCTGATACAGTATTAGCTACAACAGTGCAGCCCTACAGCCGAAGACATTTATTATTTTTATTTAATTATTATTAAATAATGGATACAAAACCAACTACAAGAACTGAAGTACTATTTTATGATATTTGTATGCCTACTATTCTTTACACTTTATTTCTTTATTCCCCTACATTTCAAAGGGAAATATTGCACCTTTTGCTCCACTGCATTTATTGGTAGTTATACTGACTATTATTCAGAGTAAGTAAGAGTTATCTTGTTAAATATTTTTGCCTTTTTTATATGTATAAAACAACCCAGCAGTATGAAATTGAGCCTTTGAGCATCTAGAATATTAAGATGAATTAATCAGTATATTATAATGTTTAACAAAATAGCACTGGAAAGGGTCATTCTGCATTCTGCAGTACATTTACTTTTTAAACTTGTCCATACATTCGACTTTTCCCACCAATGTACAAAACATGAATCTATACACTTATTACCCTATTAACTGTGAGACATTCTTCATTGTCCCATATTATTGCTTGTATGTAAGTTATATGATGTATAGTTTATCTCTTTATCTAAGTCCCATTCTGCAGGGATGTGATGACCCTCCTCTCCCAACAGCCTGGTGGGTGGAGTCGGGTCATCAGCAAGATTCAGTTCACCTTGTCTGGTGGCAAGACTATATTGCTGGAGGCAAACAGCCAGTCCCTCTCTTAGCTTCCATCCTGTTTGGTTTGGTTGAATTTTAGTTAGTTAGTTTTAGCTTTATTTCTCTTTTAGTTATGTAAAACACAAGGTATTTTTATTTACAACTCGTGTATTCTCCCCTTCTTTGTTCAGCCTTGAGCCAGGTTGTGACAAAGGAGTAGTATTATAAATGGGAAAAAGGTCATCCAAGTGATGGGACTTAAACAGATTTTGCATAGACCAGACAAAAGTCAAAATATAATTCACCCACAAGATCTGTTGCTATCAGTCTACACAATCAGTTTTGCTCAAAACATGGAGAAAATCCACCAGCCGAACATAATTCAAGGTGACCTGCCCATATGGTAGTCAGTGTGCGAATAATGCACCTCATGTACATGTTCTTCACACATAATGCAACTAAAGCAGTGGTCTCTGAACATGTTGGTAGAACGTGTGACATAGTTAGGCCTGTTCTAGCCATTTGTCAGTGCTACAAAGCAGACATTAAAATAAGAACACATACCACACATGTAAGTGAGAAAATTCCTACGTAATTACATCTGTAGCGCTTTTAGCTCCACTATTAATTGGTTACAGATGAGAAAGGGGATACACCGGCACAAAATGTCCAAAATACCTCCAAAGAATAACAGCAGGAGAGGTGAGGTGTACAGTTCCTCTTTGCTTTTGAAATTTCTTGGAAGCCCATGTCAAATCAGTTGCCAACAAGCCCTGGCGAACTGCCGTCTGTTAACAGACAGGTCTACAGCAGAGCAGTGCTCAGTGGAATGCCAAACATTTGTTTCATAAGCTGAAAAAAGCCTGCTGATTTTCCTCCCTCTCCTCCGCTCAGAGCTCTATGGAAGGGGGTCTCTCAGCCACCTGTGCATATTCAGCATAGCAGAGGAGAGCGTCGGGCACAGGGAGCAATGTACTGAAGGAATGTCGTCCCACAGAGCAGCCACTCAATAAAGAGGGAGTGTGAAGAATTTGCCTTTGCACACAGGATATTACTGTACATGTGTTTAACATAACCTGCTGTCAAAGGCTACACTGGCCAACCACAACTGCTTGTCAAATCCTAATCCAGAGCAATTTTCCACTGTTTTAGGATGATTTGGACAAATCGGATACACTTGCTTGAAGCTCTGAGAGCGCTCGGCATTGCCTCCAGCACTGTAACTTACTGTAGCTTATTGCACTGAAATCCTCGGCTAAATATAAACTAGCTACTGAATGCCTGCTTCTAGATGTCACACATATTCTCAGTTTAATTTTTATGGAAGCCATAGGTTGCTGCTCTGCTTGGTTGTGAGCAGTTCTTTTCAAAATGCTGTTTTTATTATTATGTGTATTTCTACCCCTGTATTTTGAAGTATAAAACAGCAACTGATTACTGATGTATGATGAGAGTGCCTTATTATTATTCCATTCATTAAAAATTGTTATTGTTATTTCGATTGTGACATGTACTAATGCTTCTTTCCCCACTTCTGGCTCTGTTAGAGTGACTTTGTGTGTGTTCAGTGCAAAGATGGAGGAGATGGTGTTACTGTAGTGACGGGGAAAAGCACAAAAATCTGCAGCGGGGCCAAAGCTCACAGACTCAAAAGCACATAGTTTAATCAACTGGAGGTCTGCAGAACATGTCTGGGTTAACCCAAAAGAAAGATGTGTGTGTGTGTGTGTGTGTAGGTGCATGCCCCTCACTCTCAAACACCAAGCAATTCTTTCGCCATTCTTAACTGGAATTTGGGATAGCAGTGGGGGTCTGGTGTGTGTGTGGAGAGAGAGAGAGAGTGTGTAGCTACATATTATATGTAGGTGAGTTTGAGTAAGATGGGAGGGTCGAGACTGTGTAGGATTGAGGCTGCCACAGATCACATGACAAGTCTGGTACGGTCACTGTTATTCTTTTTTCCCCCCCTTAGTCTCATGACCGTCTCTCATATAATTGCTCCTGTCTGAGGGCTTTTCGAGCAGATTCTCATCGCAGATGAATTGGACGCAAAGGTCTCTATTATGATTAATATGATCTTATCCCTTTGATTCTGTTCTGCGCTGGCACCCACACAGAGCTTTGACAATTATCCGATTATTAGATGTGGTTTGAATGGTGGACAAAATAAAGAGCCAAAAGGGCATAGGCCACCTTTCATCTAATTCCAGGGTCGGTTAATTATTTTTTTGGAGTGGTCTGTTCGTAGAGCTGTCATGGTCCCCATTTCTGGAGGCTTGGCCCCCGAGGCGGTCCAAGGCTGTAATTAGGCCTGAGCGAAGTGGAAGACGGAGAGAGGAACTCTCAGCATTCAGCCTGACGGATTGCAGAGTGTTCGGAAGTGGGCTGAGAGTGGCGCCGCTCACTTTGGGCCCTGAATCCCCCCCAGACAGTACCACTTCCTATGTCTGTATTACTCTGTCTCGTATAGGCACATTAGGACTTTAGAACATGCATTCACACATGTATGTACATTTCCTCACATGTGCAAGACATTTTTACGCTCTCACTCTCTTTCACTCACCCTGTCACTGCACCTTGTTATTTGAGAACTATAGTAAGTGAATTATATGGGAAGCATGATTTTAATTTAAACATGTAATGTCCTTAAAATGGTTTCTAATTGAGTACAAAGTACTTTTTCATTCATGCTTCATTTATCATTTTTTTTCTTTGTGTTGGGAGCCTGCAATCGCATGATTTAAATACAAATGAAACAGACAACTACATGTAATTTATTGTTGCACAGTCATGTATCATTTTCTCACTGACAACAACACACCATTACTCAGCGTAAACTAAGACAAAATTAGAGTTGGTGGAGGGAATATCCCATTGCAGTTCCTACAATGCTCCATTTATTTTAGAAGTGATGGTGGTTGCAACATGTGGTTTGATGCTGAAATGAAGAGAAAAGACAGATATCAGAGTCAAAAGGTAGATGTAGCTGTCTCTGACAGGTTCACCCAGCTAATCTAATTCACTTTTTATAGTATCAGCATGCAAGTCAAACTAGTTACTATTATTTTTTCTGTTAATGAGGCCATTTTCCATATTATTCCTGTCCATATTCCTTTTGTTTTTCATTTTATTGTATGCAGTTATACGTACTTGTTCATGTATAGTATGTTTTGTTGGTCTATCTTATAGTGAACCCAATGCAGACTATTCACCAGGTACAATAAGAGTGTGTACATTTTAGTAACAGGGATTTTTCACTGCTGTTGTGTACTGTTGAGCAGAACGTGGTCTGACAAGTTTCACTTATTCAAAATGAAGACAACAGTGGGCTCAACGGCATCTGCAGCACTTCCATCTTTCTTCTTCTTGTTGTTGCCAAGGAGTATGTGGAAAGAAGCTAATTTGATCCACATGTTTGTGGGGTTTTGGAGGAAAATAAACAAAAAGCATTGTGAACTGGTGTGAGGCTGATCTTTTGTATATTTATTGTTGCAATAACCAACAAT